CTGAAATCTGGATCTTCCATTGGGCGGGTCATTGGCTGGCCGTGAAGGGGCCAAGCTAGAATGGTGGGGAGCGTTCATAAAAGTTTTCCTGGCATATTCAGCTCTGAGGGTGCGTCTAGACTACAGGCTTTAGTTGACAAAGCTTCTGTTGACAAAGAGCATCTAGACGACATCCAGTTCTGTCGACAAAGCAAGCCACTTTGTCGACATGACAGTGTGGACGCAAAGGACAGCATAGATGCAATAACGCCTTCTGTCGACAGAACTCTGTCGACAAAAGGCGTTATTGCTTGTAGAATGAGGTTTACAGCCGTTGACAAACCTGCTGAGTTCTGTCGACGTTGTGTCGACAGAACTCAGCGGCAGTGTAGACGCAGGTATAGTTTTGTCGACAAAAGTCCACTTTTGTCAACAAAACCCTATAGTCTAGACACACCCTGAGGGTACGTCTAGACTACATGCCTCTGTCGCCAGAGAAAAACAAAAACCGTCATGCCGATCAGCTGTTTGTCGGCACAACACGGTAGTCTGGATATGCGGGGGTCGACATCAAAGGCATTTGTCGACCTCCCCGTTATGCCTCCTGGGATGAGGTTTACCTAGGAGGTCAACAAATGCCTTTGATGTCGACCCCCGCATATCCAGACTACCGTGTTGTGCCGACAAACAGCTGATCGGCATGACGGTTTTTGTTTTTCTCTGGCGACAGAGGCATGTAGTCTAGACACACCCTGAGGATGTGGAGAACAAAGGCACCTGTCTCCAGGAGGCGGTAACATTGTTGCCTGAGCATTGTGAAGTTCTACACTCTGGTGGGAGGACACGCGGTATCTTTTGAATGCCCCAGGAAATGAATTCTCACACTTGAAGGAATGTTCTAGACCAGGGATGGACAAATACCAGAGACCGGGCCAGATCCGGTCTGCCAGGCTTAGCCCCTGCTGGGCCCCCACTGCTAGATTTACCAGCGACTCTGCAGGTCTGGGTGATTGCCGTTCCCAGCCAATGGGAGCTGCGATCGCCTGTACCTGCGGAGGCGCCGGTGAATATAGCAGTGGTGGCTCGCCAGGGGATATCCCTTGTCCTGGCTCCCCACCGCCCCAGCCCCCACTCTGTTCCCAGAGCCAAGGATAAAAACGTAGAGTCCTGGCATCCATCTAGCCCCTAACCCAATAAACCTTCCTCTGAATAACACATGGTCTTACAGACCCCCAGGCTGTGTCTAGACTGGCCAGTTTTTCCGGAAAATCAGCCGCTTTTCTGGAAAAACTTGCCAGCTGTCTACACTGGCCGCTTGAATTTCTGCAAAAGCACTGACTTCCTACTGTACAAAATCAGTGCTTTTTGCGGAAATACTTTGCTGCTCCCGTTCGGGCAAAAGTCTTTTTCCGAAAGACTTTTGCGCAAAAGGGCCAGTGTAGACAGCACAGATTTGTTTTCCGCAAAAAAGCCCCGCTGGCAAAAATGGCAATCGGGGCTTTTTGGCGGAAAAGTGCGTCTAGATTGGCCACGGACGCTTTTCCGCAAAAAGTGCTTTTCCGGAAAAGCGTCCTGCCAATCTAGACGCGCTTTTCCGAAAATGCTTTTAACGGAAAACTTTTCCGTTAAAAGCATTTCCGGAAATTCATGCCAGTGTAGACGTAGCCCCACAGATTTGGTAACCAACTGAGATCTGCTCTGGTCTGTACTGAATTTTCTTGTCTATCTTCTCACTCAGCAGAGTGGAGAGAGACCTTTTGTTTTCTACTGAGCATAGTGGGACAGTCAGACTGATGCTTTATCCCTCGCCCCGCCCCTTTTGGCTGGCTGATAGTTGTAAGGGGCTTTTTTGTAGGTCCCAATTTTGTAACATTTTATTTCAGTTGGAACCACTGTCTTTATCTTCGAAAAAAAAAACAAGGGGTTGGGATTGGCTTTGTTTTTCTCTAGGCCAGACAGTGCTGGACTTTAAGAAAATACATTTCAAAGAAAAATCAGTGGCTGCTTTTCCTCCCTCCTCAAGTAGGTGGGAGATGGGTGAACTTGGGTTAGGATGAAGGGATCCCACCGTTTTACGGCCCACTCCTGTGCGAGACAGTAGTTGGCAAAGCTCTACAGTTCTTGCGTCAAACTGGGCAATCCGGGAGAGACACGGAGCCCCGGTTCCTGGTCAGCAACGCCATTAACTTCAACCAGCTCTGATATTCTAGCTCCAAGGATCTGGTTGATGTCAGGCACGAACCCCTGGCAGCCTCACCACACTCTGGCTCCTAGCGCTGCTCAGTCCCCAAAATATCCCAGGGCAGTGCCAGCGCTGCTGGGTTAAGGGGAAGGCCCACCTGTCAATGTGCTCTAACATCCTGGGTTACATCCAATTCACACAACAGGCAGCGTGGGAGTGATTTGCACAAAGTGCTGGGCCTATGTGTTCCACTACTGTGTAACACAGTTACCTGTTCACCAGATTCAAGCATTGTTCCTGTGCAACACCTGCTACAACAGGGGCCTGGATCTCAGTTGGGGTGAGCGATCTGGGCAGCAGCTGGCAGAGGGGGTCCAGACAACATCTGGCACCAGTGGGGTAGAGAACAGGGACACGTCCTATTACAGGGGGCTGGATTAAATTGTGTGGCTTGCGCACAATCCCAGCTGCAGGGGGTCCCTGCTGTTCACCCTCAACCATCTCAGCCTTAAGCAGGAGTGAGGCTGGCCCTCAACCTTGGGGAAAAGCGAGCCCAGAGACAAACAGCAAGAGAATCGCCCTTTGCTGTTTTTCTTTAAAATAAGAACTACTAACAATTTCCTCTTTTGCTAGTGCAGTGTTTATATAGGCATGGCAGCGGGATCTAGGGGTTAGAGCATTCGTCTGCTACTCAGACTTGAATTCTTCTTAGCGCCGCCCGCAGCCCATTGTGTGGCCAGCCTCAGTTTCCCCTTCTGTAAAGGGCCAGCGCCAGAGCTCTCCTCTGCAAAGGGAACGCACTAGGCATCGTACCAGGCTGCCCACAGAACTAAACCCACACACTTCCAACCCAGCGCAGAGACAAAGGGCCTGTGCTTTCCGGAGGCCCCGGGTTCGTGACGGAGAATGTAACAACAAAAGTAAGCCGGCCGGCGTTGGGTCCAGTTTTGTCTTGGTGAGATTTTTAGTTAATTAATAAAAAACAAAAACATCTTAAATACAACGCAGTTCCCTACGCCGCCCCCGCGCGCACACAATTCTAACCAACATTTTCTTCTTATACAAACGTTGTCCCCGAATCTCGCTACCGATCGGCTGGAAATAACAGTCCAACGCACTCCATAGCAACTTGACCAGGAGCCCCACCTCTGCGCTCCGAGGCAGGAAGACTTAGAAAAGGGGGAGGAAAATTGGCCCTTTCCCGCTAGGGAGGCTAAACGTAGCTGAGGGGATCGAGCGAGGCTGAGTCCCTCGTGTTCTACCCTCTCCTCTGTCGACAGAAATGTTGCCAGGAGCAGCTCGGACACATGCAATGCTCAAAGGATGAGGGTTGTGGTTAATAAGGGGTGTTTGATCCCCTTCCTTTTAAAATGGCCAAGCCGGGGGGTAGCTGACTCCTTTGCTCTCCTCCCCTCCATGGGCAGTGTTACCTTAGGTCCCTGTTCTATAGGGGCCAAGGTGCCCCGGGAGACTACCTTTCCTAGCACCGGCCAGGGCTTCCCATGATGCACTGTTTTCCCTCGCCCAGACAGACGCCTGTGCGCGTAACGGGAGGTGTAGCTCTGGCATCTAATGCTCTCATCTGCTTCTAGAAGCCATGTTCCAAGACTGGCTTGTATCTCCCATCATGCACCATGTTTTCCCATCAGGCATCATGAGAGGCAACCCAACCACAGGGTGCTGCCAGCCAGCAGAGTGGAGGCCATAAAGCACTCAAACTACAATTCCCACAGTACACTGCAGCAACTCAAGAGGCAAGCCCATGGTGCATGATGGGAAATACAGGCTGCCCGGGAAGCACAGCCTATGAGAGAAGAGGACGACCAGGCCCCTGCAGTACACCTCCCACAAGGCACGGCGGAAGCATTTCTGCCTGCAAACCATTAAAGCTTCAACTTAAAAGTAAAACGTGTCACACGCACACAAAAACCACCCTGAATTTTCAGCAGAAAATTTGTCCCTCCCCCCCCTGAAAAATTAAAAACAAATTTAGCTTCCTTTGAACATTTTCCATGGGGTTGGAACATAAGCGAGCGTGGGTTTGGATAAGAAACTGAACCTCGCCTCGTTGTGCAGTCTCCGTTTGGGGGTGGAGAGCAAATGCAGTTGCTATTGTGTGGGCTGGGCTTTATTTCAAAATGAAAAACCGGACAGACAGAGAGAGAGAGGCCTAGATGCTTGTTTATGAAACAGGCACCAGGGGCTTTGCTGAATCTATAAGCGTATCACAGATCCCACAGATGCATGGCGGGGTTGGTATCAAGCCAGCCTCTCTCAACGTGCAGGGCTGGGTGGAAAAAGGAGAGTACCGTCATGAGTGGCTCAACAGGATCAATAAATACTGGGGGTGGGGGAGGTCAATATTTGGGCTCCAGTTCTCATGACAGGCTGGGGGGGAGGGGGGGTAAAGGAAACCCGTTTTATCACTGACAGAGGGCATTTTGAAAGAGACTTGGTTCCACCAGGCAGCAGTGACATTTTACAATAAACACCACACAACAACCTGTTGTCTCACTATAAAGGCAGAAACAGCTTTTCATGCCCCACCCTAAGGGACAGAAGTGAGTCTACCACATACATGCCTTTACGTTATTGCTATAGCACCGAAAAGCCCACCTGTGGGCCAAGGGCTGTACAGACACAAAGCAATCAAGCGAGGTACTTAAAAAGCTTGCTGCCACCAGGAGGGAAGTACCTAGAGAGCTGGGGAAACTGAGTCAGGGCATTTCCCAGTCTTAATCTAAGATGAATCTATGGCTAAGAACCCAGGGAGTTGAAACTTAACCCCAAAGCTAAGGTCACTTACAAAACAGGAAACTCCCACATTTATTGAGTTTTTTTTTTCCAGTGCACACAAAAGCCGCTAAATTACAGTTGGGTGAAGAACAAGAGATAGTCACTTCAATATTAACATGTTCCAGCAGGGGAGTGGGGACTAATGATTAGAGCAGGGGTTGGGAGTTAGGGTACGTCTAGACTACATGCCTCTATCGCCAGAGGCATGTAGATTAGGCTATCCGACATAGGAAAATGAAGCGGCAATTTAAATAATCGCCGCTTCATTCAAATTTACATGGCTGCCGCGCCAAGAGATAGTCACTTCAATATTAACATGTTCCAGCAGGGGAGTGGGGACTAATGATTAGAGCAGGGGTTGGGAGTTAGGGTACGTCTAGACTACATGCCTCTATCGCCAGAGGCATGTAGATTAGGCTATCCGACATAGGAAAATGAAGCGGCAATTTAAATAATCGCCGCTTCATTCAAATTTACATGGCTGCCGCGCCGAGCCGAGAAACAGCTGATCAGCTGTTTGTCGGCTCAGCGTGGTAGTCTGGACGCGCGGGGGCTAATCTACATGCCTCTGGCGACAGAGGCATGTAGTCTAGACGTACCCTTAGACTCCAGTCCCAGCACCCAGGATAGAATCCAGGAGTCCTAAGGGAGGGGGTGGGAGTCTGTAGTCAGAGTGGGGGATAAATCCTTCCTTTAAAACTGCTCCATGTACAAGACAAATTGGGGGGGGGGGGGGGGAGAAGACAACTCACTTAAGGAAAGTGTCAGTGTTCCTAAAAAAAAGAGGAGGCTGTGTATGAGATCTGAGAACTGGCAGGATTTCTGCAATACACTTACATATTCTGCACCCTAGGACAATAAAAATATTCATACATCTTGGATCAGTAGCACAATCATAACTATTTCTGGGAAGTACAACTATTTTTTATCCCAACCTCTGAAGAAGGAATTTTTTTTCTACAATCACAATTCAATACCTGTTTTAAAAAATTACCAGTCTTTCGAAACAGCAAAACGGTGGGGTGTTTTTCAACACTTCCTCCCCCCAAAAAAGGATTCTTTCAGCTATTGTTGCCAAGGAATTTTGAAGACAAATGTGTGGTGTTTACAAGGAAAAAGTTTCAAGCTGTATTTGCCTTTTCTCCTTAAATGGAAGTTTTTCTAAGACAGATTTTGTTAAAAAAAAAAAAATTAGGGGGAGAAAAATCGTTATAATTAAGACAAGTTGCTCTCATGCAAAAAGTTTGTCTTACGACAGGTTTTATTTCTTTTAAAAAATGTGTTAAGGCCATTTTTATTGTGGAGGGATGAAGTTTTCTAAAATATAATTCTCTCCCTCCTGCACTGGTCATATCAAAAGGAACTATGTTTGTAACTTTTTAGAAAGTCTTTTACATTTTAAATTAAAATGTAGAATTTTTGCAGGGTATCTCTCTTAGCCAATTTTGGAAGGAGGAAAAAAGGGGACTATTTTTAGGGGTAAAATTATTATTTTCTCCAATGAAAGGCATTTAAAAGTGTCCTCCTTCTACGGTAAGACACCATTCAAAAATAAGCTGGGTATTGGTAAAACAAAACCAGAAAATTAAATTCTACTGCTGTTGAAAAACAAAAAGCAGAACAAAAATAACATGACACCGATTGGTGATAGCCGTGTTAGTCTGGTGTAGCTGAAACAAAATACAGGACTATGTAGCACTTTAAAAACTAACGAAAGCTCATCATCTAATAATCCATCTTGTTAGTCTTTAAAGTGCTACATAGTCCTGTATCATGACACCGATTGGTTTTTTATAACCACGACATTCAGGCTCCAGCTCACCAGAGCATCATCTGAACCAATGTATGTGGAACCCTTTGAGAATTACAGCCAAGCTAATTAAAAACTTGATTGAACTCAATTGGATTAAAGCACAAGCTTAGAGTTAAGCAGGTGCTTAGATCTCTCCTGAATTGGGAGCCAAAACAAGGTAAAAATAAGGTTAAGGAGAAAGTTCTCAGAGGCACAAAAAGGCAACAGAGAATCAAACCAACAGTGCTTCCCTACCGGAGAATTGGGGTCCACCCCAAAACCACCTACACGGTTCCACGGCAGACTGGAGCAAATCTCCTCCCCTTCCCCTCCAAACTCAGCCTCTCCCACCTCCATTTGTGCCTCTGAAAATTCCTCCCCTCCCTAACAATTTGGTGCTAGGACAACAATCGACACCAACATCCCCCCCTCCCATCTCTCCAGTGCTTCCCTACCGGAGAATTGGGGTCCACCCCAAAACCACCTACACGGTTCCACGGCAGACTGGAGCAAATCTCCTCCCCTTCCCCTCCAAACTCAGCCTCTCCCACCTCCATTTGTGCCTCTGAAAATTCCTCCCCTCCCTAACAATTTGGTGCTAGGACAACAATCGACACCAACATCCCCCCCTCCCATCTCTCCAGCGCCTCTCATCCCCCGCCCGCCCCCCCCACTCGCACATTCATTCGCACGACCCTCAG